GCAAAAAATGTAGATTTTGTAAAGTTCTTTGCTGCAAGAAACATGTCCTTCAAAACCGGAATACCTATACCTGTTTTTACTACAGGATGGACATTCCAGCCTTTATTTTGGACTCTTTTCAGTTCTGTATTATTTGTGAGAAGACTGCTAATATTTCTCAGTTGTGTTATCATTAACATCTGTAACTGGTGATCCTAATTGATCTGTGTCCTCCTTGCCATGATAGGAACATACAAAATTGTAACGGAAAAAAGTGTGTAAATAATTCTGAGAAATCTAGTTTGTAAAACGTTAGTCAGCATTTGACTTAATGATATAATAAGGTCATTGTATTACAGTTCTTGACCTTCATTAGACTTTTTAAACTTTAGCGCCTGTTTTTCCTTCCATTATTATAAAAAAAACGTTTATTGTTTAACGAAAAAGAAAAAAAAGTATAATAATAAACAGTACATTTCATGCAACAGCTATAGTTTTCATTTAAATTCATAGTTAGAAAAACAAAGATATGAGAAAAATCCCTCTGGCTTATTTGTCTCTTTAACGTTAATATTCTGTCATTTGTTGCTTTGCCACGTTTTTATTCCCCATTCATATTTAATAATCTTTTATCTTTTATACAGAATTTCGTCTTGATTCTGAAATTCAATAGGGAAATAAAATTCAGGATGTTAACCAATTTTAATTTTATGATTGGAGACGATGACAAATTTAAGGTCGTGCTACTACGCAGAAAAAATTAACTTAACTACGAAGATTACATAGTGTACCCGACCTACAAACATCATTTATTTATTTATTTATTTATTTATTTTTTTTACATTTTTACATTTTTTTTTACATTATAATAACACAGATCCTGAAGGGTGCAAGATTTAATGCATATTTGTTCACGTAGTTTATCAATGAATTGTTTCAATGTTGCTATAACTGTACTAGAATCGATCCATGAAATATTATTTATTTGAATCATTTCAAAACTGGCAGTTAGCTTTATTGTCAGATAAAAAAATGCAAAAGCCTAGCGTTCGTTTATCTTTGTCTTTACAAATATCTCTATATATTCCATTCTTTTAAGCAGTCAAGCACAGGATTTTATTTTAAATACATGTTGTCAAAAAGGAATTTAATTTATATCGTAGCTAGCTGTCCATTGAAAATACTTATTTAAAACGGAAATGTGCATCTTGAGCAACAAGACTTAGATATTGATGATAAGATATTAAATTTATCAATTCTTGTTAGATTAATTCAAAAAAGCTTTCCTTTGGAAAACGAAAACAAAGTATAGAATTGTTTTTGTTTGCCTTTTTGTTATTTCTGTTTGCTTTAATAACAGTAATTTAAGATACACAAAAGACCATACACATATATATCACGATTTTCATATCTTCTCAATTATCCTAAATGTTAACAATCTGGTATCTTCTTTTTTAAAAGTGTTATTGTGCCGTTCGACGAAAAATTTGTATAATAATTGGCGCATTTTGTAAGACCTTTAACATAATTAATTGTCTCATTCCTGTTATATTCTGAAATAATTTTTACATTGTAATCGTTATTTTCTTTCTTACGATTTTCGAAATTTCCACTCTTTGTCGTGCGATGAACCGCTAAAATTGTTTTTGTAGCATCTATAACAATGAATCCTCGCCTCAAAGACTCTATAACCAGAAAATTATCATAAGCACGCCTTCCAATGACAACATCAGGTATTTCCTTCCACGGATAATTAGCATTTGTTATGAAATAATCTTCACCCCATGCAGTAAATAATTCTCCTCTTTGATCTGAAATATTCCTAATGTATATACTAATTTCGGTAAAATTCAGAGTAAAAACGAAGGCCTTTTTGTTATCAAACCGTTCAGCCATAATGCAACCAATTGAACTGTGTAACTGCTATCAAAGCCACTTTCACAACATTAGAATTGAAAGAAAATTAATCCTGTGTTAAAAGAGGTATTCCCATCTTAATCAACTTATCTGTCAGTAGCCTAGCTTGGTGAAATAATCGTACTCAGAACAAGCTCTTTAGTAAAGTTGATGGGAGATATGAACACCCTATATAGGTAGGTGATAGCGAGATATCATAAGATGTATAAGGATTGATTGATTGTTTGTTATTTTACGTTCTATTCGAGAATTTGAAAAAAAAGATGTAGAGAGACGTAAAAACGAAATTTGACGAAGGTAAAACTTACGTTATCTCGTTTGATATACAATTGTTATTAGGCATGTGGAATACTCTATTATCTGTTAATGCAAGTCAGGGAATAAAAAAAAAATAATTTTATGATATTTATCCCTTTCTTAAAAAAATTTTCAAATAAGATATTAACGTGTAAGATTAATCAACAAATTACCGAAATTATCCATGTCATATATATAAATGTTTCCGATAAAATTACACAAACGCTTAAGATTTCCTTAAATGACTTTCTACGGCAGAATGCATGAATCCTTGTCAACCAATACGAAGAAATCAAATGCTCAATGATGTTTTCTTACCAATTTTAGACAATTATTTACACTTTGAAATGTCGACAATTGGGATCAGGTACCATAGATGAGTTAGCACGCCCTGCCGATTGGTCACATCAGCCGTGTCCTCCTTTTCATGATTGGAATATACAAAATTGTAACGGAAAATACCATGGACAATTTAGTGTGCATATAATTGTGTAAAAACAAGAAGGAAAAAAATCAGACAGCATTTGACTTAATGATAGTATGTGTTTCCTGACAAGGTCATTGTGACTATAGAAATATAGTTCTTTGCCTTCATTAGACTTTTTAAGTTTCACTTGTTTTTTTCCTCAATTATCATAAAGTGCGTTTATTGTTTTAGATGATACCGGGCACAAAAATGAAAATAAGTAAGGTAATGAACAGGTGCATTTCTTTCCGCGGCCAGTTTTACATATCAAATTGGTTTAGAAAATATTTTTTTCTAAATTCATCGTTAAAAAAACAAGAACGTGAGAAACCAAAATCCATTTGGGTAGAATATCTCATTAACGTTCATATTCTGTCATTTGTTACTTTAACACGTTTAAATTTCCCATTCATATCTAATAATCTTTATCTTTTCTACAAAATTCTGTCTTGATTATGAAATTCAATAACGAAATGAATTTCAGGATATTAACCAATTTTTATTTTATGATTGTAGACAATGACAAATAAGGTCAAAGTCGCCGTGCTATTGCGTATTTATATACACAATGATAAAGAAGCATTTTTATTTTACGAAAAAAAGCCCCTGAAGTAGTTTATAGATGGATTGTGTTAAAGTAACTAGAATAGTCCTGGAATTAATCAAGTTTGTCCGTCTTTATAAAAAAAAATCTCAAAATACTTAACAGTGACATATCAATAAAAATTTGTACTCAACTAAAATTCAATAAAGACATGGAGACCGTTCCTCCGGATGAGATATATGAATCGAGCTAGATCCAATGTAACAATAGGTGTTGGCACGAAAAAGGATACCTCACTGCTCAGCGGTCCTATGTGCCATTGACAAAAGGTGACGTTTCTAACTAAGTGAAAAATTCTCTTTAAAGGGACGTTAAACAAGCATTTAAATAATCCCAAACAACTCATGTTGGTACATAATTTGATGTATCGGTATAAGATTTAGTGAAAAGTTTTGTCTTGTTTGTTAAAAATTGCATTTTTTGTTAGGTGTCTGAATAATGTTACTTTCTGTAAAGTTTTGCTTAAATTATAATCAACTAGGTACACAAATAAACAACTTCTATATATGCTAGGAAAATTCTAAAAAAATGTCTTTTGCACGGAGGTACATGTTCGTGTGTACTATTTGAATACAAATACAAACTTCTCAATTGATACTCTTTTCTACAGTTGGTTCAAATAAAATTGAACTTGCCACACACAAAAAATAGAATGGAAATAACCTGCTCATTTATAGTACTTCGTCAGTATATCTTTAAAAATATAATTAACCCCTCAAATTCTTTGTAAATAGTTGTAATAAAGATTATTCATGCGTATTATTCAAACATGCTCTTGCGAATCGAATTAATATTAATTGGAGTAATAAACTCAATTTCAGATGATAACAATACATTTGTTTATTATTATTAGAATTAAACAAGGAAAATGTAAAATAGAAAAGAAAATTTCCTATATTCTTCAAAGTGTATTTATTGCATCCAGTTTCTTTCTCTAGCTAGTTTAATATCCGAATATGAAACAAATGTCAGGATACCGTTGATATTTCTAAAAGTCTAATTGAAGCAAGATACTTCTTTTCATGTAGACGTTTTTGAATAAAGTTTACTTGATATGCTCGTAATTAAATTTCAGAAATGAAACCAGCATAGACATCGTAGCAGATGCCCATTTCTTTTTTATTCCAGACGTAAGCCTTCTAATTTTTTTGCATAAAAAAAACATCGTAAAAATAATCTTAATGTTTGATTTCTTTTTCATGAAAAAAAACACGCTGATAAAAAGGGTACAGTGACTGAATATTATGCATATTTTAATGCATAATTTGTGATATATATTAAGTTTCCAATATATGTATTTTTAAGACACGGGGAATAAATTTACTTTACGGAAGTCATTAGTTCAAATCTTACATGTATTAGCTACGAGTGTTTTACAGTATGTAATACATGTAAATGGAGATAATTTACAGTATTCAAGCTCAAATTCCATTTCACTGAAAAAAAAAATTGGAGCATACCAAACAAGAACCTCTTTAAAAAATAGATGTTGGATCAGATGCCATGGAAAAGTGAACATCACCTGCTTACTAAAATTTTAACATAAACATGAATATAAGTAGCAATCAACAAGTTAATTCTATTTATAGATTTTCAAATTGATTTTAACACAAGCAAAAATCAAATTAAGTTTTATTTCAATGTTAAATACAACTCAAGTAAATGTTTTAAATATAAATCAGACCAAATCAGATATTTATAAAAGTTTAGCTTTCAAATAAATAAATTTATCTAAAAAAAAAATTATAAACAGATTGACCACGAAAACCGATTTCATTAAAAGCTTCATGATCTTGATATTAAGATTGAACAATTAATAATTTTACATAAATAGGTAAAAGACAACTAAACTTTGGGAAACGGTCGTAATTATGGATATTATTTTTGATATAGTAAAAGTGTACTGTAAATTACACTAAAGAACAAAATACTCAGACATGCACATACACGTGTAGCATCATGAACATGAATTTAACAATATGGTTTCTTCTTTTTCAAAAGTGTGATTGTGTTGTTTGATAAAATGTTAGTGTAATAGTTAGCACATTTTGTGAGACCTTTGGCATAATTAATAGTTCCATTCTTATAATATTTAGAGATAATTTTTACATTGTAATCGTTATTTTCTTTCTTACGATTTTCGAAATTTCCACTCTTTGTCGTGTGATGAACCGCTAAAACTGTTTTTGTAGCATCTATAACAATGAATCCTCGCTTCAAAGATTCTATTACTATAAAATTATCAAAAGCCCGCCTTCCGATGACAACATCAGGCATATCCTTCCACGGATAATTAGCACTTGTTATAAAATAATCCTCACCCCATGCCGTAAACAACTCTCCTCTTTGTTTCGAAATATTCCTTAACAATTCGAAATCCCCTGCATCCTGCATGGATATATTTTGTACGTTAGTCCTCTGTCCTATCATAAGTATTGTATTATTGTACACATCTATCATGTTCTCAACAGCTAAAACAGTTTTTAATAGTCCCTCTGTAAATAGAATATCCCCGTTTGCGTAGCCATAAAAAGCCGATTTTGAAAAGTTCATGGCTGCAAGAAACATGTCCTTTAAAACCGGAATACCAATTCCTGTTTTAACCACTGGGTGGACTTTCCAACCTTTCTTTTGGACTCTTTTCGTAAGATCTGTATCATTTGTGAAAAGAATCGGTGTAATGGTCGGTTTCAATCTGGACCAGTTATGAACCGTTGTGTTTCGACAGAGATATTTCTCGATATCTACTGACCATGAGGTGAATAATGTTATCACTGGAAATTCATACTTATTTTTCTCTTGATATTCCTTAGTGATCACCTCCTGCTTCAAATTATCAATTTTTCTCGAAGTTCTCTCTTGAGCACGTTTCAAGTTTTCTGATTTGTTCACAATTTTTTCATTATTAAGTTTGATCTTGGTCTCGCTTTGTAATGCACGATTTGTCTTTCCATGAAATGAAGATTCATCCAGAAAATTTGCTGTCCGTTCTTCACTCTTTATTATTAGGACTTGCATGTTAAGAGACTGCTTAACGTCTTCTAGTATGGATTTGGAAATATAAAAATTCCTACACGTTAGATCATACAGGTATACGTATATCCCAATGCATAACAGGGTGAGAAAAGCGACTTTGATATGTTTACATTCATTCGCCATTTCAAATAATGTAAAAACAAAATTGAATAAACATCAACTTTGTAAGTTACTGACCTCAGTAATGACTTTAAAAAAAACAGTGTCTTCCTATGGAAATATCTTTTAACGTTTTTAAAAATAATGCATTGCACCTTACGATAGGCGGGGTTAAGCTATGCTTGTACCAAGAAATGGTTACGTAGGCTGGATTGCAATAAATTATGCTATGTTTAATTTATTCCGAAATTGAATCTTCGTCGAAGTGGTAGCTGAATATCTCAGAACCTTTTGACATAAATGGTGTTTCACAATATATGTCACACATCTAAAGACAGATAGATAATTTACAACAAAAGTTACATATACATTTTATACATCATTTTAATCAGCATATATTCAAAATTACTTTTTTTGAGTCAGAATTGAAGTATACAACATTCTCCACTTCAGTTACTATGGCAACAAATCCTAATATGTCATTCTTCAAGTATTTTCCCAACATATATTGTCCTAAATACTAGTAACTTAAGAGACTAATGTTGATAAATTTCTGACCACTGTTTTGTAAGCTTCACAGGATACTTGAGACTTTTCTTGTTTTATATCTGGCTCTTTAGAACCCCCAAAGTGTATATCTATTTTTATTTAAAGTTGCATTAAAATAAATGTGTCGTTTCAGAACTACCGGTATGTGTTAATTAGTGTCCACTTCTTTCGCTCTTCCTTTATATTATATATATATATATATATATATATATATATATATATATATATATATATATATATATATATATATATATATATATATATATATATATATATATATATATATATATATATATATATATATATATATATATATATATATATATATAAAACATGCAGTCAACTTTGCAGTTTTAATCGGCTCTGAACGTCAGTTGGCTTTAGATGTTGAAATCTTGTATGCAGACACACTTAACTCAAATTCAAGATTTTTAAAAAGTAAATACACAAGATACATTTATCGGCATTGTTACAATCAATGGTAGTTCCCTAAATTCGGATCTAACTTTCATGAGGTTTTCTCAATGATTGACTTCACTTAGATATTGTTCTCATCTCTTCTTGATTTTTGTTGGGGGGAGGGGGGGGGGATTTACATGTAACTGTCTTTTGTCTTTATGTTATAATTTAGTTCAAACTCTCTAATTATACTTATTAATATATGAAAACTAGACAGCGATTTCTGGTCTAGATATTTTTCATCATCACACCCTGTACAATATTTAAGATATCGTTCTTATTATAAAAGTTTACAACAAATTTTTGTTTCAAGTTGTACCCCATTTTGAGAACAGCTGAAATTGTGACACACTGATTAAATCATCAGTTACAGAATGGTATATTATAAGTTTCCCGATAATTTGCAATAACATAATTTTAGATCAATATGCTTACCTATAGTGTTTTGGTATTTTTGGTGACATATATTGTGAAACACCCTGTACACTGAGTTACTGTAACATTTTTCTATCACAATGACGTTTAGAGGGCGTTGCACAGAATGTTTGAATATTTCGTTGGTGTCATTCAACAAGACTATTTTGGTACATTTCCACAATGAGTAACCTCAAGGTACTGTACAGCAGTATATTCGAGAAGAAGTGTAAAACAGTTGTGAATAAAATAAATACCTCGAACCGCTTTTAGAACATTTGAAATCAGAATTTCTTTTCAAAATCAATTACACGAAGACATTTGATTTTTAAACACATTATACAACCATTCCAAACAATAAATTGAAGTTCAAGACATAATACAAAACTTTTTTTAAAAAATAGAAACGGAATTCATTCTAAATACTTGCAGTGTACTTTGTCTTTGGTCGTTTACAAAATTATTTCATTAAAGCACACTGTACAAACCATTACTCCGAACTATGAAAAAGATGCATGATTTTTTTTACTTGCAAACATCTTTTTTTGGAGATCATGTCGTCCAAAAATGATTATGACTCAATTTTCAAAGATTCGTGGTATAACATTTTTTCCATGACAACCTGTCCGTCTGTCTGTCAAAAAACCCTAACCTGAGATTTTCTAATTGAATATTTTCGAGCGTCAATTTGTACTGCCGGTGCGTCTGCATTATTTTAACCTTGTCCTTAACTTTTAATTTGTTTGCACTATGGCTTTCATATTCCAATTTTGTTTCTTTTGGCACCGTCATTTCTGATCCCTTTATTATGGATTTTGACTCACTTTTCATAAAATTTACCCAATATCTCTGCCTTTAAGTTTTGACGGGTAGTGTTGGACCTTGCGTTCTTCACATGCATATTCAACAAGAACTTTCTTAGGATATAAATATTTTTCATCGTTTTACCTTGACCTTTGAGTTTGACTCACTTAAAAAAACATTGACACAAATTTGTAAAGTGCTCTTCATATGTAAATTGTGCATTCCTTGTGACAAGGCCTTCCTTTGAATACCAACTTTGACCATTTAATCTTTACCTTGTAAATGTGTCCTTCTTCTGCAAAATGTAACTTAGACTCTTTCTTTAAGTTGATTTTGAGCACGAATACTCTTCGTCATGTCCAAATCTTATTGTAAATTTAGGTACTAGTATTCAATAAAAACAAATATATATATGTGGTAACTATGTATAACATATATGGAAATAACAAATAGAATTTAAGCTCAAGAGTTCATTAAACAACACAAAAAGGAGCAAAGCAAACAAGGACCTCCAGAGCATCAGAAGTGGGATCAGGTGCCACGGGAGAAGTGAGCATCCCTTAACCCTATGTAAAATATCAAATTTGAAAAAAAATCAAAAGTTAAGCATTTTTTAAAATTTATTGCCTTTTACGAAAAGCTTTATGAGATTTCATTCTATCCAACATGTAACTCTTTTTTATTCTATGTAAATTCTTTTTTCAATTGCCAAATTCTGTTTACATTTAACCTATGTGCTCTATTTTTCAAAAACAGCGGTACTTATGAAGTTTAAATATTCTATAATCATCTAAATAATAGTTAAAATCTATTACGTGTTTGTTAAGTTTTGAAAAGGGGCAGTTTCACGGGGCACATCTATTTTTTAAGCGTGCCATCTCTTTACACACAAAAAAATTCAATGTACTTTCCATTGAATATTTAAGTATGCTATTAAACAAAAGTTTTGCATTTGTATTCATTTGTAATTAAATCATCTATAAATAGTACTTTATAATGAGATAAGAGGTGACTTTGTCTGCTACTCTCTTGTCACATTGATAAGAACATCGCGGTGCGCAGCACATTTAAAGTTACAAAAAGGGGGAGGAGCCTTATTTGTACGGGAAAACGTAACTTTGACATCATACAAAACCGACAATATTTTTGAAATTCCACAAAATAGGGTGATTTGCTATTTTAACCCGCAGGAAACCATTAAACTACACATGTACATAAAAACTTACTATAACATGCTGTTTTGTCTTTAGTTAAATCCCACATAACAAGTTATTAACAAGTCACTGATAGCAATGTACTTGTTGATATGATGTCATTTCGCAGTTTGTATACAGTGAGAGGCAAATCAAGTAATATTTTATTTAAATAAAATATCGTTTACGGATATTGTATAGGCCATTAACTGTATGCTTTACGATTTTATTGATACTGCCGTATATTTGTAGGCAAGTACATCAGAGGGTAATGTGAGGGTCTTAATAAATCGTTCTAGTGCAAGGGCATACATGTACACTCAATGGATCATGGTAAACTTTTAAAGATCAACTCTATAAGTATTATGGTATCTGAAAAGTGCTTCGATCCTTATAAAATCTTAAAAATAATTTAATTATAGTAATATTTCATGCCACTGACCAGCAAAAAATAGAGCATTCGGTCATACAAATATGATTTTAACAATGAAATTGCCGAATCTAAATAGGATCGCAGCATTTTTCAGAAACTACAAAGTGTGTTGAAAATATTTCTAAACTAAACTTAGAATTATAATTTGGTTATGCCCTTGCACTTGCGAAATTTATAGATAACCTCAAAACTGCAAGTAATTGTGCTAAAATCACGTGACTGTCGCATCACGTGACAAGTCTAAATATAAAATATAATCGTCCTCAATATGTAATTATTAAAAAAATAACAATCATCCTATGTAAATAATGTACTAAAAATAATTGCCATCCTGATTATGAATACATTAAATTGTCGATATTTCCATTGCGCACCTCTACTTTACTGCGTGAGCTATTTCTTTTCGACCTTACTGTTCAAAATTTCATTATTAGATTTTGCATATTCAGAGAATTTAATGTAGTCTAACGCTTCTATTCATTTTAAAATTAAATTGTTCTACTTCGTGGTAATCGGTTGATATGGTTAAATGTTTTCGTATAAATTGAATTGGGCCCCGCCTCCTTTTGATATTTTTAATATTACTGCCCTTTATCGTATCGTATGTTGCGTCTTTTGTGTTTTGCTTTATTATAGTCTTTTCCATAAAAATGTTTTTCCGCTTATCGAGTTTCCCATTATTACCAACATATCGACAATCCCCCCCCCCCCCAGACCCTACACATATAATAAGCATCCAAAACTTTAAATTCATAAAACATATCATACAACTTTTATTTCACAAAACATTATACCACAGTCTTCCTTCAGACAGGGTAATTTTATATTTTTATGGATACAAACCAAAATTCAAAACCAAAATTTAAAACAACCCTTCCTTACTCACGAAATGGATTCTTTATCCTATCATGCAGTGCATTAATTACCCTTTATGTATTTCCTTATATGAATATTATCGAACTACTCGTATATTATATTCAGTAGAAAACTAAAACACGGTAAAAATCGAAAAAGTAGAAGCCCGAAAAGCTAACATAAGGCAGAAAAACGCAAAAATTCTTGGTAAGCGTGAAAGTGCAGGCCGGTCTCCACAAACTAAGAGTGAGACACATGAACACGAAGGGCGCCTCAGAGATTAAAGTTTCCAACTGAATGATATATTCTTCTAGCACATAAATAAAAGGATGCATTATTTTTCAGAAAACTTCTGCGGTCTTGATCACAGCATGCCAAATATCGCTCGATCTAAGATTATGACTT